ATAATCTGTTTTAAACACAATTTTACATAATTGTTCATACATTTTGTAGCAATTTTTAAACGATTATTAATTTGTACTAAATGGGTATAATTAGTATGATATACCAATATGTATTTATAACTTTCCGATTCAATATTATGTACGTTTGGACCTCAAGATGTTATCAAATTTTTTAGATGTAAAAAGTAATTGCATTTTACATTTTTTTTTTTTACAGAATGTCTGTTTTCATGGCAATACCTCGATTTGCATACAATTTACCTAAATATGTATTAGGTTTAGGATAAATGAAGGCAGTGTTGAATGGGAAATTGATGTGAATTTTTGTTATTAAATTATTAAACATTTACAATGAAAGATTTCGTTATTTTAAAAGTTGGTACATGCATATACATGCATGAGAATATGAAATATAGGAAAGTATAATGGAATTGTCAATTGCGGGTATGCCTTTGAGATTTGTGTTATGTTTATTTAATTAGTGATAGATGTACAGTATGAAACTTCCCTTTAGAGTAAGAAATTTTTTCCTTCTAATGTGATAAATATAAGAAAAATATTATGCTGCTGTATTCAAATTATTAGATATATGAATTCTACAGAAAAATCGTTTTATTTTATTTTATTTCTGTTTTTTAAGTAAGGGATGGTGCCTTATCTATAAAAATGAAAATGTATTGATAATTCCTTACAAAAGTGTATTAAATTGTCTTTCTTTACATAGAAAATATATTTATGACAATAAAAGTTGTAGAATGAATTTACATAAAAGTAAAAGAGTATCTGTAAATTTCCCCCAAAAATTCAGTTATGGTTATTATTATTTTCTCGTTCGTGACAAAAAGCATTTTCATCTTGTCATTGTGTAATATAGCAAGTACAAGTAACCATTCCTGTTCATGTAGTTAATAGTTGCACAGTAATTATTCGTAATTATAAATAACATAAATATTTAAGGTATTTCGAATAATTTTTTAATTAATTTCTTACAATTTTAATTGTCTTTCAGTAATTTTTTATTTTGTCATATTTATAGAAAGTTAATAAATTTACTTCGAATTGTAATTTTTTCATACTTAGTACATATCTTTCAGCATTTCTTGTGAACTAATACATAGAAATAAAAACTATAAAAGCTATATTATAAGCAAGTATATAAATATTTTTGGAAATTGAACCTACCATAAATATCATCAATTAATTAACACAAAATTAATATCAACTTATTTTTCATTCCAAAAATATTTTTGTATATATTTTCGATACTTTTACCGAAGTAACATAAATATCTTTTAGAAATAGACTTTTAATATGCCGTATAATTATATGAATTTAATCATTGTCAAGTTTTGCATCACGTGACTTGAAGAAATATAAGAATCAAAAAAAAAAACAAAGAAAAAAAAGAAAAAAAATGTTAAATTGAAACGACACGAATAAAGTGTATTATTTACTTTTTTCCAAAAATTAGAATATTAATATTTTAACTTCTTTCCGTAATATATTAATGCAAAGAAAATATATTTGTTTTCTGATATTCGAATAAAGTAGTAATTAGATATAATAGCTTTTATTTGTATTAATGATAGGAGAATGTTACGGCAATTAATTAATTAATTTTTAAAACTTAATTTACATCTTGATCATTTAAGAAGTATAGTAATATTAATCGGTGCATGCTGTTAAATAATTTAAGACAATTTATTTCCAAATGTATTTGCCATATATATTAGCAGTTTTAATTAACAAATTATATGGATACGGGTTGAATAATTTTAGAAATCATTTGAAGAATAATACACTGACCATTTCGACGAAAATAAAATTGTATTATTCGAAATATTGAAGTAGTTTTCATTGTCATTGAACTTCATGCATTCTACTTAATTCCATATAGAAACATCGATTGTATTATACTAGTTTCGAGATTTACTAATTAAGGTTCACCACACTCACTGTGAAATATTGTATTGTATATAATTAAGTAAACGTTGTTTATTTATACGCAAGGCGTTGTATTATACCTGAGATTGTTAAATGTTATAAATATTCTCATAGCCTATACAAAATGTGTTTTATTTCATTAATTTCCCACCTCGATATATTTTCATTGAAATTCAATGCCATTCCAATATTTCGTTAACAATTTCTGGATTTAAATTTGAAATTATTTCTTTCTAAGATCATTTCTTTTTAAACTTTTAAGAGCTTAGATTAAAAATAAAATTTTCGTAATAAAATTTCTATAGATAATTTTGTACGTAAAATTTTTAAATATGAAACATTCATTTTTATTATTTTTATATCGCAAGTATTATTTTTTGAATATTATAAGATTTATTACTTTGAGAGGTTAGAGTTAATTTGTGTAGGGTTTTTTCGTAAAAATTGACGAAAATTGTCAACTTCATTAATTTGTACGTTTGACTTAATTTTGAAATTTAAGAAATTGTAACTCAAACTCTCATTACATTGCATATTATGGGAGTGATATAATTTATGTATGTGAATGAAGAATACGTTGAGAGGGGTTGATTGTAAGATTACTGTTTGAATGTAGGATGTAAGCTACTCAAAATTAACAAGGACCGAATCACCAATTTGTAAATTTGTATTTACATATCCATACAATATCGACTAGATTACGTACTGTGTGAGTGAAAAGATAAATCCAAAATACAAGATAAACACTGAACACAGACACCACATTGACATTGCAAAGTGTGGTGTCCTTGGAAATTGTCCAGCTGCTATCTCCATCAGTTCTTGGTATTGATTTCGTGAAGCAACTGTCCGGTCTTATTTATCCAAAACATACAAATTTAGCTACCAAAACACTTACCAAAGATGTACAAACAAATGTATCAAAGCATTATTTGCTAAATCGATTAACTGCAAAAAATAAAAGCAGATTTTTATCTTACTTGTCATAGTCAGACATAAAAGGTCGAATATCAATCAAGTATTTGATACGAAAATTTTAAAAAATTCCAAAAGCGAAGTTACTTTCATCACAATCCACGAACGACTCATATCTTTATCTCACTTACACTTAATAAAAACAAAAGAAACTTGGGATTTTCTGGGATATCTAACACCTTTAAAATTGGCAAAATTTAATTCCAAACTTTGACCAATTTACAGAGCACTACTGTGCCGAGATGAGATTGTTAAGGTACTTTGAAAAGAAAATATAGTTGAAGAAAAATAAATCAAAGGAATAACGAATGACGTAGACATTAATGAAACATAAAACTTTAATAAAGGAGAAAATGCTGATAATTAATATATTTTTTTTCTGTTTAGATACTTTTATTAAATTTTGTTGTACCTCGTTTATTTCCTAACACGAAACCTATCGCTAACACATCAAAGAAACCTGTTTTTCTGTAACGACTTCGTAGTTTATTGTTTTGTTTATTTTTCCTAAACTGGATTTTTTCTTTATAGCGAGCGTAATAACAGAATTAAAAAATTAATGGAATATAAAATATAATTTGCTAAGGAACATGCTCAAATTGCCCTGCAGCATGTTATAACGATTTGATACATTATTTCCTTATACTTTTCATGAATTATGCGAGTGATCTCTTTTTTTGATATTTTCATTCAAATTTGTAGTGCTTCCTTAATCGCCTATTATCTTTTCACCCCCCACTGATATAAACAATACTATTCCTTGGCATTGTTTAATTTCAATATCTTTACCGAAGTCTGTATCTGCGTTTTCATCGCAACCTATTTTCCTTTCTTTTCTATTGGTACAATACTTTTCCCGTTTTCAAATATCTTCATCAAATCTCGCAATTTTCTCCTTATTATGCATCTTCTTTTCATCTCCCGTTCTTATGTGTCTAATAGGAATACTTCTGAACAGCGTATAGTTTTAAATGTAATTTTTATTTAGGCTATGTACAACACATACGTACAATACGTGACCCTTGCTTAAAACTATATTACGCTCGCCCGGTATGCATTTCCACTTAATCTTTTCTCCTCGACATACTTAGTGTGTGTGAACGTGTCTCTCATGCACGCATCGTCGTACAGACGCACGCGTACGCGTATGTTTTGTATGTAATAATACGAGTGCACACATGTGTTCGTATATCGTGTGATATGTTACAAATTTTTAGGAACATTTCGCGTGGAACACCGCGAGCGATATTAGTAATAAGGTTGCAGCAAAACTACACGAAAACAATGCAGTCGTCTGCAGCTTCATTCTCGATCGATATATTAATTAGACAATTATCGAAAAATGACACCAATATAGACGATTGTTCATTGGACAGATCCAAATATCACCACTGAAAGGCGCCAGGGAGAACAACATCTATTCGATAACGATATAACGTTCAATTAGGAAAAACATTTGTTCAAACTCAATTTCGAGATGTGTCGTGCTGAATGAAAGAAGCAAATTTGCTTTCTTACTTTTCATAGCATGTAGCCTCCTATTCTTCAAAGTAAATCAACAGCTTTTACTTTCTTCTCTTCCATTTCAGATCAATTCAAATTAAACGGTGAAATGAATAAAAATATACATTTACAACTGATTAAATAAATTTGTTCATAATTCTACTTTAAATACAATTCTAAATTAAAATAATGTTTCAAGTTGTAATTATTTATCAATTGCTTATATAGTTACTTGTATAGGTTATGGGTTATTATAAGTTATACAAGTAAAGCCGTTTTCTAAATAAACCAGTGATTATTTTGATACTTTAAGAATTCTATTCAAGAGTAAAGCTAAATACAGATTCACTTTGATATACTGAAGGCATTTTACATGGTAGCCAAAATAATTTTACACGTTGCACAGAGATAACCTTCAAATCATATGTTATATTTATTCTCAATCGATAGATACAGGTTTTGGTGTAAAATTATTTGAAATGCAAAAGGAACCGTTGTCGTACTTACTTGAGTATAAATACTCAGTTAGTGCTAGGAACATAAGAAAATTCGTGTAATTATACAATTTGGGTACATACCTATAACACCCTGGCGCCTCTCAAATTTCGAACGCAAGACAGTGTCGGTTAACCTCGTCTCTCATCCCGATTATTTAAAATTCTGGCCAACATAAGCACACAAATCAATACCTAATATTCCACTAAGTTTAGGTATGCTTACATTTTTAAAAGGACATTGAAAAATCGCATATGCTAGAATATCTGTTGATTACACTGTATACGTATCTCTTCCTTATTTACAATCTCCTTTAACGAAACTGTTTTGGATCGTTGTTAAGAAACTAACAAAAACATCGCGTGAACTGTGCTCGTATCGAGTCTCACTTGGCTCGTGCATATCGATTACTCTCTAACTGTGAGTATGCGTAGCTGTGTGCTGTGTGGCGGGAAAATCAAATACACCTTTCTCGCTGATCTCCTTCAACGATACTGCAAAGGAAGTACAGATCGAAACGGAAGAAACAAACGATGAAACTAATACATTTCGTTTGTTCTAAGAATAATCGTGATGAATTTATATGCAAAATTCGTTTAGACAATGCATCCCTACTACTGCTACGAAAAAAACACTCGATCCTAAGAAAGTGTATTAATGAATTTAAAAAAGGAAATCAAAGATTCGATCGGAATATATTACGCTTTGTACAGAATAATAGAAATTTGTGTACATACATAACCATTTGCACTAATAATTGCGGTGTATGTGCGAATACGTGTGTTTAATAGAGTATACATACAATCCGTGTGTATGCATAACGCCGCACATGAATAATATTACTTTTTTTTTTTTTTTTTTTTCTTTACCAATAATATCAAATGATATTAACAAAGTTACTTTACCAAAATATCGTTAACGTTACAACGAAACGTCAGATGACACCGCGTTAATTTGAACGCGATAATCAGAGTGACTGACACTTCGTATCGTAACATTAATGAACGAATAATCCTGGTAAGACGTTAAACGGTAACACGACGTATTGCTTCGTGTCTATTGAAAATTCGACTTTTCGTTTCCTGTGTAAAATGTCACATGATCCGCGTTGATTCGATTCGTTTCACTGTTTCCTTAGATGTACTTCATGGTATCTTGAAATAACGTTCACCTCTTGTCCTCCTGACAACATGATTTAGCAATGCTAAGTTGCCTCAATGAAGATACGCAGTCAAATATATAATTCGTAACGATTTCGACGAATGATCCACTCGTGTATGTTTACAATTATGTCTGATATTGCAGCATTGGTGCAGCGAGGTTAGGATGGTGGGCCGTATTCATTCTTAGAGCGGAAATACTCTTGTTGTACCACTCGTCTTCGGCTGACATTCCTGAAACAAAGGGATCGGTTGGTTTATTTTATTTATTACTGGCAACATTGGTAAGTTTCTTCTTAATTATCAGTTTCAAATATTTTTAAAATTTTGTACAATTTTTTGTATTTATTTTACGTGTGATTTTGTAAAGAAATTCGATGGATAAAGAGAAGCGAATGAAAATTAAGCAATGATTAATAAACGATTTCTTTTCAGTAAATAATTTGTCATTAATTTATTCATTCTATCTACCAAAGTGTTCAAATACTTGTATGAGTGTATGTGTATGAACACTGTACATTTATTTCTATATGTACATGTATATTTAAAATATAAATTTTCATGTACATACATATATATATATGGATATACATTTCTATCAAAATTACAATGTTTAATTGTTATATTAGCTGTATCGTCTTTATTGCTACGTATTAAGAACATTTTATCTAAAATATTAAATTTTTATTTTCATTATGTATCGTTCAAATAAGTGCGTCGTATGTATATTTTATATACGCGTTTCTGACCAAACCATATTCACACTTGACAAACGGGGGTAGTACTCCTGTTGTGTTCCTGTTCGTATAGAATGGATGAAATAGTGAAATGTTGTAGTCTTTGTACTCCTCTGCTTAGCAATAATAAAATCAAATTCTTGGATTTATGATTAACAAACAGGAAACACATTGTACATATTTAAATACTTATATTTCTTTATGATTGCTCATCTTTTCACTTATGTTAATATATAATCTCTTCGAGTCAAGCGCAGATCCGCTTTAATACGATTTATCGTTAGTCACTAACTCACGAATATCGTTGTGTATTGGTCTCTTTTAGATACCTTCTCTTTTTAAAACTTTTTCAAAACACAATGGAATTTATAAAGGGAAATTTATACCAGGCGTTTCATAAATTTCAATATCGTTAGATTTTCCATTGAATTAGGTATACATATATATCCATAATATAGGGCATAAAATCTAAATTTCTAAACTACATCACAAATATAATTTTGAGCTTTGTACTTATATTTATGTTATTTATTTCACATATAATTTCATCTTATAATTGTTTACATTTGTAATTATAATTATGAACCTCCTTTTTGTAATTATAAAAATTTGTCAAATTATATAATGTATGTACACTTATATAAAAACAAGGTATTTACATTAATCTCTATTCCATGTAAACATATAAACCCAATTAAAGGATATATCTATAGAGAATATTATTTCTTAGTATTAAGTATTAACCAATTATCGATAAATACGTATTTAATTCGTATCTATATTTGCGTCATCTATTTCACACGTAATTTTATCTTATAAATGTATAGTTACTTATATCATGAACTTGATCATAAATTTTCCACACATTTATGTACACGTATTAGAAATTACAATTATCAATCTCTATGTCGCATAAGTCTATAAATCTAATTAAATAATATATAGCAGAACACTATTTCCTAGTATTAAAAATTAATCGATTACCTATACACTCGTAGATACATAACCTGTGTTCGATTTGGTAACGCGAAGAGGAGATCAAGATACCATTCATCCACCCTTCCCCATCGGAAACAGCTCGATTGAACGAAAGTAAATTTCTTTTCTCTCAGAAAAGTAATCCGGTGAGTCGATTTAACGACTTCTCCTGGAAGTACGTCGTAATCCTTAATCTGCCGATTTGCTATCGCATTAAGGCGTTGAATGGTTACGAGCACCAGATATATTGACCGAGGGCCTACACCCAGATAGTGAATGAAAACTTGAGCACGAACACAAGCAAGGCAACCAATTCGCGAATAGTCTTGATTCGATTTTAAAGCGATATTCCATCTTGCGCCGGAAATGATGTAAGACGGCGCTCGAGCGGAAATGGAGAGAGCGTCTTGGACTGAACGAACGAACGTTTGCGCGGATGTCCGATTGCCGTTATTTCCGGTCCAACGTTTTACCAAGTCATTTAATAATTTTGGATCAACACCTCGGATAAACAATCAGAACTTCTTGTGATAATAAAAGAGAAAATATTTTTCGTGATATATTGTTATTGTTTCGTTATTGTATTTAAAAGTGATGGTATTTTATCATGTACAACGAATTTGAATTTTAAAAACCTCACCCTACTTATATACTACGATATTTTTATTTTTATTTATTTGCTAATTCTATTTATAATCGAATTATATTGGATAACGAAAATAAAATAAAATTCGAGCTTAGGTGACCGTAATTTATAGGCTATAGATGGATTAATTTTTATACGAATTTTCTTTTCATTTTTTTACCATGTCAATATTAATTCATTGGTTTCAAGAAAAATACTATGTAGGTATAAAACTGAATCTATTATTGAAGTAAAATATTTCGATATAGTTGTATATTTTTAATCATCTTTATGACAAAATTATATGTATAATTAATATTTATTTTTCAGTTTTTCCATTAAATTATTTATGATATTTCTTTGCATTTTTGTATCATTACTTACTATTTCATTTTGTATTATAATATTACTTTAAATTTTGTGGAACAGCTAACTTATCATAATTCTCCTTTTACAGCCTTTTGTTATAGACAGTACAATTGTTTTTATTATTCGTGTAATATGTAATATGTAGGTACGGTTTTAATAACAGTACTTAGAAACATCAAATTATATTCTGATTCAGTAAAAAAAAAAAATTAAAATACTCATATTATAGTTTGCACTTTACTGTCGTAGAAAATGTAATAAACTACATCTAACAATATACAAATTTTCGTTGTAATAAAAATTCTGTATTAGCAAAATTTTTATTAAATTAAAATTATATCTGTCGAACAATTTTGTTCCATAGTAAATTATACCGAGTAATAGTAATTGCCACCTTTAATATAATATTTCTATTAGAAACTAGTTAGAAAATATAACGAAAACTATAATAATTGTCATATAATAGTTATTTTATTTTCTTGGATGATAGAGATTCGTATGTTGTCATTATTTTCTTCTTAAAAAGGAAAATTTTCATTTTCTTTTTATTTCTATTCTCTAATAGTGATTTATTGATGGTTATGGCAACTGCCTTTAATTTCTATTCTATTAGCATAATGTCTAAGGTAGAAGATACTAGAAATAACGACTTTATATTTTGATAGCTATTTATTAAAAAAAATTCTCATCTTATAATGAATGTCCTGCAAAATTCACGCAAGAAGTAATTTTGATAGAAAACACAGGTTTTTAATTAAAAATTGTAAATATTGCTCAACAATGGAGAGGCGTTGTTCTTTCGTGTAGCGCTCCTTTCTTAATAATCCTGAACTGTCAGCTGACACGCTATCTTTTTTCTTTGTTGGTAACATTTTAGCGCACAAATGGCGCAAAATTCAAATCTTGCGTGAATTTTGAGACATGCTACATTTTAATTGTTCATTATTCGAGTTAACACTAGAACTATCAAAGAGGTTAAGTGACTTGTTTTGGATATTTTATGTTTGCAATTTCTGAAACCATATAGAATGTTTTTGAAAAACTTAATATTGACTTTTATTTGAACAGAAACATAATTATGTATATCTAACTTCATCCTATTAATACGATTATTATGATTTGTCTATTTAGTTACTCATTATACGTTAGTAGCTCTAGTGTTAATGAAATCACCAATCGCTTAACAGATTAGATATAATGATTATTTTAATTGTACATAGACAAAGTCCATGTAAACTCACCCATTGCATCTTGTCTCATACCAGTAACAGCAGACATATTTGACGCTGAATGTGACATAGAAAATGGCTGGGTCATACTTGGATAGGACGTCGTACCCATCTATAAACACACATTGATATATGAATTAGCTACTCGTTATACAGAGATATTGTGATGAAACATTTCATTAAATCGTTGAATGATGAGTATATATCATTAAGGATTGCAATAAATATTCATTTAACAATTGATAATTATTTCGAATTATGTTATACGTATCTCGTAATATTTAATGTTGTACGCTATTTATTTCGTATAATATTTAATTGCTACACGTTATTCATTTTCCACTGTTATTTGATTACTGTACGAAATATAATAATTTATGCTTAACAATTAAAATGTTGAAAATTATTGTAAAAAATTTTGCTTCCGAAAAAGGCAGAAATATAAATTTCTGTTTACCCTCTCTTGCAACATATTGTATTAAATAATTATATAAAAATAAAATAAAAATTACTTTCGAAAGTGAACTCTATTAAATTAGAGCGAATGTCTATAGGGGTTTAAAAAATTGTAGGCATTAAGAATTATTATTATATCGCTATGTTATATGTATAAGATTATTTACATTAATATACGATAGAAATTCAATGTCACGATTAATTGAACAATTCAATTTATATACCAAATCCATAATATAAATACAAGAAATTCGATCTGTAATCAGTAAAGATAAAAACTCATAATAGTAAAAATTGCAATCTCATTGAAAAATTAACAAAGACGATTAGAAAATGCAATGTTAAATGAAAATCATATTTGAAACTTTCTAACAAAATGGAATATGTAAATTACGTATGAATTGTTAAATAAAATATTTATAAATGATATATCAACTCCTTGCACTGAAATGACGAATCCAACTAATAATAGACTTGCAATGTCGAAGTGTACAATTTACATTTGTTCAGACTTTTATAAATACGTAAAATAAATATTGTTGTTAGCTTGTAATTGGTTATTTTAATATAGAATCAGAAGTTTAATAAATTTTTGTCATTATATGAAAAAGTTAATTTTATCAATTTGATACTTTTTATTATAAATTGAAAGTAACACAAGAAAGAATCACGTATAAATGGATAATTATGTATAAATATTTTATTTCAATATTTTATGTACTATTACACAACAAAAGTTACTCTAGTTATGGCATCCGAACAATTAAAAGATGGTAACTGACAATGAGAGTCACCTCCCAAATGCAGTTTACCTTTTTGTGGACGAGAGTAAAAATTCATAAAATATTCGACAATAACAGATTCTGTATGTAAAAAAGAATAATGACAAAGATAAAAATGAGAAAAGTCTACGTAAACTGCTATTGCATAAAGCTATGAAAAGATTGAGTTGTGTATCCGAATACGATTGGCTGTAAATAAACTTCAGTGGAAGGAGTTGATGTCTCGAAATGTGCAATTGCACGTTCCCAAAAAGTATAAAAACAAATATCATTCCTAATCGTTATCTACATATGGTTAGAATAAAATACGTAAACATTGAAAGTATAAAAAAAAAAAAATGTTAAAAACACATAAATTCTTAATAAACCAAAATTCGTTTTATTAAAAAGATACTCCTAATTAATATAATCTTTTTACTTTTACTGATAATTAAGTTACCAATTATTCTATTACTAAAAAGTGATAAGAATAGAACTAGAAAGGTAAAAAGTAGGAAAAGAAAATAACTCGTATGAACGATGTAACTCTCATTACATATACACACAGAAAATATTTGCTGCATCTAACTGAATAGATAATGCATCAAAAAGATGGGCAAGTGAGCATTAGCAAATAATTTTATCTTGCTACTTCAAACGTGACTTCGAAGATCGATTAAGGGGATCTCGAAGCTTTTTTATTGGCAAACCGATACGCTCGACGAATTATTGGCTTAATTAAACCGGTAGGCATTCGGTAATCCGTCCGACCCAACTAATCAGTCGAAATGCAATTTAGCTACATCGACCGATAGCGATGCGCCGGACGTACGCTCAGGTGCACTTCAATTTAATACCTCGGTTAAAATCATTAACGAGAAACGCATCGAATTCATTCGTAGGGATACGATACGTTGCTTGTTAGGCGTGATGCATCGATTGTCGGCGTTAACGGATTTTTCCCTTTTTTCCCTTTTATTCCCTCTTTTTTGTTTTTTTGTTTTTCTTTTTGGCATTCAATGAATTCGAAAACGTAACAATGGAATAACACCTTGGATTATCGTTGGTACGTATGAATATTTAAACGAATTTTTAGGTACTCGTGTAACAAAAGTTACGTTAATAATGATTTACCTTACATCTACATATGACGTATTTTCTCAGATAATGCAGTGGTAGTGCAACGTTGAGTTTCAGTTTGATGGTTTTATAATATATATTTTGTAAAAGAAATTTCTGATTGTATCAAAGTCTTCTCTTGATTTCACAAACAAGTGATTTCGTGTACTTGATTTCTATAATTAGAAATGATTTGCGATTATAAATAAATAATGCTTATGGTAGCTATAGTAAGACTGATATAAGAAACGAAATAAAATTAGTATCGATAAGAGACATTTGAAAGAGTACATTTAAGTCATGAAATATTTTTAAACGCAATTATTTCATTTATAAATCATAGAAGAGTAAGTTTAACCATTGATAAAATCATGACAAATCATGCTTCTGCACTTGCTTTTAACAGTTTCACAATATATTTTTATATTTTTCTAAGAAAAATTTCTAAGAATATATCAATTTTCTGATTTCCTTTTACCTATACAGAAAAAAAAGAAAAAAATTGATACAGGAAAACATAAATGAATAAAATTTACATTAATATTTTGAAATATTTTCAAAAATTTCAAAAGCCACGAACTCGATTAATAATTTCTCAGAAAATAAATTCTTAATCGTTATTGAAATCATAATGAATAATGCACCTAAGTTTGATTTTAGGAGCACACTCTGTCTTATAAGAAATATTTGACTATGTAAAAATGTTCCCATATTCAAAGAAATGATTTCAGTTCTAGTTATAATAAGATTAATACAAACAACGGCAAATGTACGAATATTTTGGAAAAATGACTTACCTGGGGGTAGCGGTTTATCCCATTTATGCTATTATGAGGATGAGGATACGGTTGATAACCTCTGCTAGCACCAGGATAAATATTCCTCATCATAGCGCCTTGACAAGCAGGAATTGGAGTCAAAGCCTTTTGAAGTTGTTTCTCTTGCTTCCGATATTTTGCTCTTCTATTTTGAAACCAGACCTATTAGTACAAAAGAGTGCAATAGTATTTAAAAATCCTGCCGTTTTAAAGAATAATTTTATTTAACTGTTCCATATCCAATTATGTTGCTAGCATAAATAAGTTTATCAATTCTTACTAATTCTTCCGATTCCTCACCCACAAATCTACAATTGTTACAATACAATTTAACTATATGTAGACCAGGGTTTCTCAATGGAGATCATATGACACTCCTCGAATTTTCGAATCATTCGAAAAAATGGAGGAATTCAAGAAGTCACGATCTTCATGATTTGAGCGCGCGTATTTTAATAAATGAAAATTTCATTGCATATATAATAGTGTATATAGGTATATGGAGTTGACCAAAAGCTAATGTCGGTATTTTCAGCTTAAAATAGCAATCATTTTCTTGAATCGAAATAATTTAACCAAGTAATGTATTCATCGATTTTATTTACAACATTTAGCCATTTTATAGGTCGCTGCATAATTCACTTCACAATTGACGTGTGATTATATTTAACAAATAATAAAGCACTGCTTTGTACCGATAATAACAAAATGTCACCATCTTCTACGAAAATCTAACGATAATTATTGCCCAACTCAATGTACGTATATATACATATATTTGCATATTTATGTAAATAAATAGGCATACAAACATCGGTATATATGTGTGTGTCTTTTTCGTTTAAATTAAAACTTTTGAATATAAGGAAAATATAGGGCAAGGTAGACATAAAGAGTATCGATGTCGACAGAGGAACCATAATTCAAATCAGGTTGAGAAACCCTGATATCGGTTGTCCCATGAGTAAACAATTGTAATTAGTTTATATCATACTTAATCAAAGAAGCGCAAATCACCTACGTTCATTTTCATAGGAATTAATCCATCTACACTCCTATCTGTAATTATTTGCTCACTACCATTTGTCCAAAATGTTCAAAGTATGGATCATACATGATTCTCAAATGCAGTTTCAGGCTAACGCCTTGAACATTATGAATTATTATTAATTGTCCATTGCAAGATAGCACCAATTTTATAAAGCACTACAAACAATTATAATTCGAATAGTTTGCTGACAACTAAATTTACGTTGAAACAATACGTCACATGTCGTTACATAAACTGAAAGTCGATTACAATGAATCAAATCAATTCTATCAAACCACAAATCAAACCTTGAATTAAAACGAAGCAATGAATCAATTTTAGGCCTGATATAATATGAAGATTAAGATACACAGGGTGTCTGATAATTGGAGGTACAAGGATATAGGAGGTGATTCTACGTGTAAAAATAAATGGAAAAGGAAGAATAAAGTTTTCACGTACGAGGCCTGGTATTCGAGAAAATTGAATTTGAAAATTCGTGGGATGCGTATAAATTTAATCGTACTTTATAAATTTTAACGTAGACTATCTTTCACGTTATTCTATCGTTCGATTTACTAATATAAGTAATACAGATGTAAAAATACAGAAAGTGTTTATGAACACAAATAGATACAGTCTGCATTGAAATTCGTCGCGTGGAAACTTGAATAAAAGGATGCATACCCCACGAATCTTTAATCGTGATTTTCTCGAAAATGAAGTCCTTTCGACTTATTTTTCGACGTAGAACCAATTTCTACTCGATTTTATCACCAGTTACCAAACACCCTGTATAATATAAATATATTCGTAAGTATAAGAAATTGGGTAATATATATATATATATACGTGATATCCATTATGAATCGACTTTGCACACGATGTATGTATACACGACACAACCGCTCAAATAGTCAATCCCGATATATCAACGTGAATCGACTTGAAAATATTCGAGGTTCATCGAAATGCATTAATCAGATGTAAACGGAGCATTTCTCTTCCGTTAATAGCCGCCAAGCTATTCTGGCTTTTCTCGGACTCCCCGAGGTAGAGTAGTTTATCTATCGCCATTTTGCATCGGGCAATTTCCATTGTTTCGCGGGATTAGTAAACCCATATTGGGGGTTGCCTGAACCGCCACCAGCGACTGCACACCGAATCCCCGAACCTCCAACGCTCTCCCCACCCTGGCCTTTAACCCGTATCCCGCCCCCTACACCCCAGACCCCTTCCACCGCTGTCTCCTTCTTCGTTTCCCCTCTCTTCTTCCGGGTTCTCGTGATTCCCTGCCGACCGACCCTTTTCCGAGCAACCCCCAGAAAGAGAAAAGCCTCTCCCCTGGTTGGGGTCGACTTGTTTCCACCCTCGTGGTGATGTTACCGGTGCCTCCTGATTGGCCAATGCCACGACTGTGACGTCACTCCAAGCTTCCTCATTGGCCAACATGTTTTATCGACATTTCTACTGTGCACCATCTCTCCTCCTCTTCTCACTATCTCTCTCTCCCTCGCTCTCTGCCTCTCTCTATCTCTATTCCTCTCTCTCTCTCTCTCGCTCGCTCTCTTTCTCTCTCGTTCTTACACGCTATCGTATGGCGAAACGGGCGACACGCGAGGGTGGCTCTACCAGGCCTGCTCTCATGCTTCCTGTGCTTTCTGTATCTTTTTGTGCGCTATTTTTGTACCCCCAATACCTCTCTGACTTGCTCTTCCCGTTGCACCAGCGCCCTCTCTGTCCGCTCTGTTTCTCCTCGCGCATATTTTTTTCGGTTTCTCTCCGCGGAACCATCCATCGTGTTTTCGAGCTATGCAACGCGAAATATCAGCAACGATGATTTATTACGAGGACGGAAAGAGGCGAGCGAATCCTTAGAGACAGGATAACGAGAGGAAAATAAAGGTCAGAATAGTGACAGACATTTTAGGGTCCATTGGCTGGTGGATAAGAGTGCAGAAGTCTCATCGACTCGTTTTGAAAAATTCATCGGTGAAAGTGAGAAAAATATTTGAGAAATGGCAGCCAAAGAAAGTAATAACAAAGTCACTACTCCTGTCACCATTTTCTGTGAAATAGAGATACCAGATATCTCCAACTTGTTAGCTTGTAATTAGCTTCACATTTTGAATTTTTTTTCATTTTCCCACCAAAGCAGTCGATCGATGCTTGACTGTCTATATCTAACAATGAGATAGATTGAAATATTTGAAAAGAATCTTTTGTTTGTTAAACTTAATTTGGCAAACGAGCCATTCGATCGGTAACATAGATTTAAACAAAGGAAATAAAGGGAAAAAATGGATTCAAGCCAAGCAAATAATACATTCGGTGCTAAAAATGAAACCAACGATTAGCAAATCACCACTGTGATGGTAGCCTCATTTTTTCGGGTCGTTGATAAATTACTCGCTAGATGTCACCGTCGTCGCGTACGTTATTGATACAAGTTGGCCTGTAAATTACATTCCCAGCACGAGGATACGTTTAATGTCATTGCTAACGCGATACTTATATTTATGCATCGTTATACGTATCGACCTGTTAGACAAGGAGACCGTGTCGATAATTTCAAAAAGAGACGTATGTGCACATACGTGCATATTTAGGTATACATCATTTTAAACTGCACATACGGAAATCACGGAACAAGCGAAGCACCACGCATAACCAATTGCGACCCGCATTTGAATTCACGGCACATGAGCCGATTTGCACTTGCACAAAAGATACTTGCATCCCAAATAATTTGAATTTACGTGTCACCCTGAGTCATTAGTTTCGCATCGAAGTCCTCGTTGTTGGGGAGCAGATGTTGTCGCGTTATTTAAAAATAATAATCAAGTATAACGAAAAATGAGCCCTACGTTGGTACTATCTTCATGATAGAACTACCATACCTGTCGATATGACTGGTTTAGGGTATTTTATTTTTGCCGTTATTGAAAATATGTAGCCACTTTTAATTTTAACTTTCGGTAAAATTAACTTTTGTTAAAATTAATGTTGGAAATATTACTGCTACTGAAAATATGTAGCTATTTTCAATTTTTAATTTTGTTAGAATTAATGTTGGTATTTATTGAGATAGAAATATGATTATATAGAGAGTGTTTACAATGTAGGGTCTGGGGGGGGGGGGGGAGAGAGAGAGAGAGAAACGGGAGAAGCAGAAATCGACATAAAAATCTAATCAACATAAAACCAATCGTTTTGGCATAATCGACTTTTATTGTTTACGAATATTCGATATTACGAGTGAGTTTCTTTCAACGTATTAGATATAACTATAGAGATAGATTAGGTTAGTAATACATTAATCCAGGTTTGATAATAAAATTATTACTGATATCGATAAACGATTAGGTTATGAAAGCAAATGTAGTACAAATTTTTTTTGTTATAATAAACATTTGATTTTTTTCATCCCTGTTGCATTTTCTATCCATTGTGATAATTCTGCAATTATTTATGGGTGATAAATAGGCCAAAGTGTTTAAATTACTCCATAAAAAGAAGTTTAGTGGGTTAAAGTCAGGTGATAATGAGAAATTAGAACTATTATACTTCTACTGTAATTCTTGTATTTACATTCAGTGTTTTGCGAAATATCGAATTGAATATTTGAAAATAATAGAAGTCGATTGTGCGTCGAAATTGTTGATTGTAGATCCTATGTTAGTTAGATATTTTATATTAATTTTTACTCTTCTCTTTGAGAACTACAAGTATTTCAAGACTTGAACTCTACTTCTTGAACACCCTGTACATAAAGTAATACAGTTAAACTGTAAAACCCAATGTAATTATTAATATGAAACTTTCTGTATTTCTAATATATTTCATGTTGAAATATTTACATTCCTTACTTCCTAATGATCGTGTTTGTTCATTTATGAGATAAGAAGTAAAAAATTCCCAATTACAAAATTACCTGAAATATAATTCTGAGATATATTTAGTGATTAAATAACATAAACAAAAGAATTCTATTATATATTTTTAAAATTTTTCCGCTTTTTTACATATCACTGTATCCGTTTACTTATAACATAAAAAATAAGGATTTCGCAATTGTAAAATTATCTAATTTTAGATCTAAAGTGTAACACAGTATGATGCTTATATATAT